CTTTGCCTCACCCGAGCGTTAATATTCTTGCTTATTGAGTTTTCCACCTCTAGGGACTCGATGGACTTGTATTTACTGAACCAGAAGAGCATGTGGCACACACTGGGGCTACAATAAATATTTCTTGAATAAGTGGGTTGATGATTAAAAAAATAAATTCTGCATTTTGTACAACAGGCTTGAAAGAAGCACTACGTATGTGCAGAAGTCAAGCCACAGATCTATAAGAAGTCAGACATGGTCTGTTATTTCTTCTTTTTGCTTTAAAATGGATATTTGTGCTATTTTTATCACTATCTTTAATTTGGCTCACATACTTACCTGGGCTTGGGGTGATCTCCATGTAGAGCTGTTAGAGGCAGATATTGGAAGAAAAACGTATGGTGTGACCATAACAAAGGGGCGACTGGCAAATGTTGATTGGACCAATGCAAAGCTTGAAGCTGACTGAGGGTCAGGGAACCTAATCCTTGTGAAAAATCTGTTGTCAAGGCCGATAACCATATCATAATGAAAACCCCTTCTTGTTGCTACACACATACTAGGGGAAAATTCCAAAGTATACTGCTGGGCAGTAAAAGCAATGTCTTCCTCCCAATTAGTATTCAGATCCTTCTTTTCTCTCTAAACTTCTTTTGCCTGCAAAGAACGTAAAGCACAGCTTGGGAGACCACGCACCTGCGTGGAAATTCATCGGCACGGAGTTCCAATTAGGAGGGGATGGCAGGGAAGCACGAACGGCTTTCATGAAACAAAGTGTTCGGCGGCCACATTAATAATCAATTAGAGGGACAGCCACCTGATGCTGCACATTTGGTGGCGCCTCCAGCTGCCAGCAGCTTTTTGCCCTGGCAGCATCAGCTGAAAAAAATGTTCCCTTTCTATCACGACTCAAGTAAGCAAAATATTCCATTCTTTTGCACTTCGCTCCATATTTTCCCACTTGCTAATTAGAGATGCAGATGTTGATAAATAAGACCGCGTTTTTTTCCCAGCACAACTGGGTCAATAAGTTGAGCGTTGTGCCCTGTTCCTCCAATTAAACGCCTATGAGCAATAGCTCGATTATAATTAGAGAAGCAATTATCCCCTTGTTAGAGGTGAAACAAATCACAGGTTTTAGTGAAAAATTCAGTCTCGCTCCTTGTGCCATGCCAACGATTCTTGCATCCACTGATGTTTGCATCCCGGGACTCTCCAAAAGACATAATCTGATGGAATAAAGCATCTCTGAGTGTATTTCTAGCTCACCACGTGACACTCGCATTTTCTAGGCATAAACTGGAACGAGCATAGAGGGATTAATTTCATAGAGTGCTGCTATTACGCCACTAGAGCAACCCAGCACCCGTTCTATAGGCTTATTAATTTTCTTGTTTCTTCAGGGAGATGCGGGAAAAGTTTATCTGCTGAAAGGGAGGCAGATGCCTCACCAGAAATGGAAGAAAACAATTATATTTTTGGCTTGATGCTAGTAAAAG